CACAATCTCTTCTGCATTTGGTAAAGTCCATAATCTCTTTCTTAAATTCCTTCCTCCCTAGAGTTTATCCAGGAGATGCTTTTCTACATTTTTTTCATATTGTTCCTTTTCTCCTACTAATCATACTCTGCATTCTATTGTTCCCAGGTGTTCTTATTCTTGGTCCATTTCTCTTCTTATTTTTAATATTCGTCCCAGGATATGTTCATCTTCCTGTGATTTCCTCTACCTCTAATACCTTTCCTAAATTTGTGTGTGAGTCCTAGTTCTTTCCTTTGAATCTAATATCTGTGTATGCCAATGTCCACTAGACACTCTAGGACAGTGTGCTATGGACAACCCAAACTCAGCAGACCCAAAATGAATTAGGAATAATTTGTCTTCTTCTTCCTCTAAATTATTTGTGTTTTGTATTCACAACGACCAGTAAAAGATCTCATCACCTACCCAATGATGGAAAACAGAAATCTGGGCGTGAGCCTAGATAAGTAGCCTCCAACCCAATTGGTAAACAAATAATATGAATTATTACTCTTTTTTAAGAGAGAGAGAAAGAGAGAGAGAGAGAGAGAATTTTTTAATATTTATTTTTCAGTTTTCCGTGGACACAATATCTTTTATTTTATTATTTGTGGTGCTGAGGATCCAACCCAATGCCCTGTGCATGGCAGGCGAGCGCACTACCACTTGAGCCACATCCCCAGCCCTGGATTTTTACTCTTAATGTTTCTCATCTTCTGCTCTTCTCTCTTTTGGTATTGCCCAGGTTAGGCCCCACATCATCATTCCCATCTCCTCACCTTTCAATGGATTTTCTTACCTCCTGGGAAACTACTCCAATACTGACTGCATACCGCTCACTAACCTTTCTGAAATGTCCAGGGTACACTTTCTGTCTATACATGGAGCTCTCCAACAAAGCTAAGAATGCATAAAGGGAAAATAAAGACATATAATTAATCCATATAAATTCAAGCAGAAGTAGCCCACATAATGCCCAATGAAGTAAGCCCTTTGACCCCTCCCATCCTTCTGTGTTTATGCCCATCATAATCCCTGAGATTATAAATTCAATGGGTTTTATTCTTATGATTATGTGATGATATATGGTACAGTTGATGTTAAGAAGGAGTTTATCCAAGTGGACATGGCCTATTCACAGGAGCCCTTAAAAGACAGTATTCTCCGGTGTGTGTAGAAGATGGAATCTGAGAGTCTAAGCACGGGAAGGCTTCTATGTATATTGGTTGGCTTGCAGATTTGGAGGCCAAATCAAGGAATATGTGCAATTCCTGGAAAATAAGAGTAGTTGAAAACAAAATTCAGCAAAAGACTTTGTAACCTCAGCCCAATCATTGTAAGAAATTACATTTTACCAACTACCAGAGTGAGCTTGAAGTAAATATTTCCCCAGAGTTCCCAGAATGTGATATAGTCCTCCAAAGGCCTTGACGCTGAGCAGAGGACCCATTCAGGCCATGACAGGCTTCTGACCTACAGAAAAGTTAATGAAAGAATGGATGTTTTTAAACTCATAAGTTCATGGTAATTTGCTATGTAACAATACAAAACTAACATAGCAACTCATTGTTGACACTAATCAATGCCAATGGATTAGTGAATGATTTGAAAGAGTGAGCAGATGGATGGGGGATGGTTAGAGATGGACAGGTGAGTGAATGAATGATGTTCTCAACAGCACGTTCTGAGAACCTCACCCAGTGCTGGGCATACAGTTAGCACTTCATATGTATTAATTGTCTTAGTGGGAAAATATGATAAGAATAAATTATAACAGGAATAAAGATGAGTGTGGTGCTCTGTGTCTTGACTGCTGATCAGTAATCCCTTTCATAAATTGAGTCAGAGAATAAAATTGTAGAGAGGCAGAAAGTAATAGGAGATAATTAGAAAAAGATGCAGAGCCCCAAACACTAAAGTCTTCTACCTGATGCAAAGGAGTATTGACCCTTTATATATAAAAATGCAAGAATTCTTTATCTTAACTCTTTTAATATTTAATTTAAATATTTCCTCCC